CTTGGGTACGGGGGAAAGAGTAGGTCATACCACAGTGTTTATATATGTACTTGGGTACGGGGGCAGGCTATGTTATACCACACTGTTTATATATGTACTTGGGTACGGGGGAAAGACTAGGTCATACCACACTGTTTGTATATGTACTTGGGTACGGGGCAGACTTGGTCATACCACCATGTTTATATATGTACTTGGGTACGGGGGCAGACTAAGTTATGCCACCATGTTTATATATATACTTGGGTACGGGGAAAAGACTAAGTTATACAACAATGTTTATATATGTCCCTGGGTACGGGGGAAAGACTTGGTCATACCACCATGTTTATACATGTACATGGGTACGGGGGAAAGAGTAGGTCATACCACAGTGTTTATATATGTACTTAGGTACGGGGGCAGACTAAGTTATAGCACCATGTTTATATATGTTCTTGGGTACGGGGAAAGACTAGGTTATACTACAATGTTTATATATGTACTTGGGTACGGGGGAAAGACTAGGTTATACCACAATGATTATATATGTACTTGGGTACCTGGGAAAGACGTGGTTATACCACCATGTTTATATATGTACTTGGGTACGGGGGAAGACTATGTGTATACCACACTGTTTATATGTGTACTTGGGTACGGGGAAAAGACTAAGTTATACCACCATGTTTATATATTTACATCGGTACGGGGGAAAGACTAGGTTATACCACAATGTTTATATATGTACCTGGGTACGGGGGAAATACTAGGTTATACCACACTGTTTATATATGTACTTGGGTACGGGGAAAAGACTAAGTTATACCACCATGTTTATACATGTACATGGGTACGGGGGAAAGACTAGGTTATACCACTATTTTATATATGTACTTGGGTACGGGGGAAAGACTAAGTTATACCACCATGTTTATATATGTACTTGGGTACGTGGAAAGACTAGGTTATACCACGATGTTTATATATGCAATTGGGTACGGGGGAAAGACTAAGTTATACCACAATGTTTAAATATGTACTTGGGTACGGGTGAAAGTCTAGGTCATACCACACTGTTTAGATAAGTCCTTGGGTACGGGGAAAGACTAGGTTATACCACGATGTTTATATATGCAATTGGGTACGGGGGAAAGACTAAGTTATACCACCATGTTTATATATGTACTTGGGTACGGGGGAAAGACTAGGTTATACCACACTGTATATATGTGATATACCTTATACTAAGACAGATTTCGCGTCTTATATAAATGTCATAGGACTGTGTACATTCAAGATAAAATTGAATACATGCTGTCATGTTTACGATACATATCCGAATATAAATATTATCGGAAATATTGGCACTACATCATATCGTACAGGAAAGAAAATATAATGTATGTTTTTTTTTTTTTTGCATGTTTTAAACTCTCCTGTTGAGTCAAATTGTGGCCGGTAGGCTGTTAGCAAGTCGATATTTTCATGGCGATGTTAACGTGGAAGCTAGTTGCATAGACCGTTTCGTAATGAGAGAACTTGGCACGTGTCCAATTACAGTTTTGTTCCTGGTGTAAAGTAGGTTGTTACCTAAATAAAGCGGGTCATGGATATGTGAAAATCCAGGGCCGAAAGAGTGACTTAATGCGGCGTTCACACAGTGCCGATTATGGATCCCGTTTCAGATCAGACGAAAATCGAAAGAGTCGGATTACTATCCTCAATTATCTGGAATGTCCTATCATTGTCTGAACGCAGTCGTATACGTTCGTAACAGAGTCCTACGGATCGGGAATGGTCCGGAGAGCTCGGCCAAGCAGTAAGGTGCATCCCATAACATTCGGGAACCTCAGCTGATTTTGGTTAGTCAGATTACAATCGTGACCATGTCGTGACAGATTCCGCTGTATCGGATGAAAATCTTAACAATAGCCTGTGTTGTCTGGACGGTGTCTTGACGGTGTCTTAACGGTGTCGTTTGGGTCGGGACGCTGTCGTGATGAACGGGCAAGATTTGGAGATCTTTTTCATTACCGTTACTAGCCGATTTAGTCCAGATTACATCCAGATCTTGCCAAATGCATCGGTTCACTGTCCGGTCACTGTCGGATCTCTGTCGGATCGCGTTCGGGAGAATCGGGACGCTGTCGGGACAGATTCGGTCGTTTTTACCATGCGGAAGATAAAATCGAATCAGATTCGGATTGAGAACGGGAGAATCGGGACGAATTCGGCTGGAAACGGCTGTATCGGGACGCTTCCTGAACAATATTTGATTGTTGTCGTGATTAAATAAATGTTTTTTACAAATTTGTGAATTTCTCGCCACGAATCACAGGCTCTTTATTAGACTTTTGACACATTTTATTTGGAAGTGGTCCTTTCAAGGACGGCAGTAACATTTCTGAATGTGTGACTGAGGTTTAACAAAAATAAATAAAAAATATATTTGTTTTCAAGAAGATGCAAATTCAAAAAATGTACGTGTATATGTCTCGATATTTCTCATACATTGCGTTTCAATGCTGTCGTTTATTAAGCTTTACACCACAGAGTCATGAGATTCTTTCTGGCAGGTGTCAATATAGGATGAAACATATTTACTGTATCCTTACTCAACTCTGCTGCGATGTACTCGCACTAGCTACAAATATACCCATTCAAAGTCTGCAGTCACCTGTTTACGTTAACTTGTTTACTGTTTACAGGGTCCACGGTGGTTAATGTCACTTACATTAAAATTGTATTGTTATGGACATACAAGTCCTTACAACATGTACACAAGATCCACGATGATTTAAAAGGATTCACGTGATAACCTATGATTCCTATAAATTGCAGTTCCCGTTAGGGGAGTAGACATTAAAATCATTGTATGAGCATTCGCCTGTAAATATGTCATTTTGTTGACTTTATTGTAATAAACTTCGAACAATGATAGTCGGGGAACGTAGCCATTATACTACTTTCAGATGAGGTTTATGGCCAATATGAATGTCCACTGCATTACTGAAAATAACATGAACTGTATTACATGGAGTAGTTCGTGTTTTATCTGCTATAATGCAGTTTCCATTTATATTGCCTATAAACCACATATCAAAGAAGTTTGATATATATGTTTTCGTTTTTACTACTTTTTGTATTTTTCTAGAATAAAAATAACAACTCTTCATTTAAGTATGTAAAAGTATTATTATTCCTCCTAAATTCACTTAATATTGAAGAGGCAGATGAACCAAGAGTAGCCATGGTATCGCTGGTTGATTGAATTGTGTATGCTAAAGAGTGTTTTGTTTGAATCGTGAGATACTGTTAGCGATATTGTTTTAAGCTAAGCGGGAAACGAACGTGTGGAAGAGTAAGGTAGTGACAGCTTGCATTTGCACTTACGGTGTCGACCTGTGGTACGGTCGGACAAATGTTTAAACATGTCCTTTCATTTCCGCCTAAATGTTATAAAGTATTGTAATTCTAATAGACATAATAACGAGAGTTACACTTGACTTTATTATTTTCTGTCTACCTATCGATAACGTTCGTAGTACTGCATATTTCGGTTCATCATCTGATAAACCGAAAGAAATGTAACGTTAGCGCAGGCAAATTCGCCATGCACCCAAATTCGCCACCCTGTGACGAAATTGCCATATGGCGCCATAATACATAAGATGTGACGTTAATAACGTCACCATAGTCTTCAAAACAGTAAAAGCCCCTAAATATTTTGACAAGAAGAGGTATAAGAAGGGGAAAGTTATATTATCAATTAAAACAGTTATGAAATATCTTGTAACGCAACGAATCTTAAAAATTTGGTCTGCGCGACGGACATCTCGTCAACTAAACTCGTTAATCTGAGACCTGTTGGTTGTGATTTATTGTTAAATGCATTACATACAAATTGAAAATACCCATAGCTCAATGCCAATTGCAGTGTTATGGTCGATTGAACCGTCAATGCAAGTAAATTGTTTTTCTACAAGTGTACTTTGGTACATACAATGTACTGACGACATGGAATGCTTGTTTATTGAAATGACGCTCTGAAGACTTAATAATTCATTTTCCATTTTCATGCATGTGTATTTAGAAAACAATTAACCAGTATCTTTTACAAAATATTGTTTTCGTCTGACATTCAGCCATCTTACAACACTTTAATTAATGCATCATCTAGAAAATTTCAAGGTTTATATTTGGAAAGAGTTTGTCGGCATGAAAGTACTGCTGTACAATATCATGATGATTATACGTATAGACCGACAACTATAACTTGCGTTGTTACCAAAGACTGATTTTGACATGAAAAAGTAAGTCTTGTACATTACTACGCCCGGGACAGTATCTGTTGAATACGTTTTCAAGCCCCAAAATCGTTTTAATCATTTGTCAGATGTTTTCCGTTCATGTGACAAATTTCCCAAAAGTCGAGGGGGAAAGGCGACCGTTGAAAGTCCTGCACCTCTCATCCGGACCCGATAAAAAATATAATTTTGGACACCAATGTAAATTGACCTTATCTCAGCCGATCCCTGCCATCTTTCTCAAACAGCATAAATCAGTTTCTTCAAGTTACCGAAAATTAACTATCACAGCTAAGAAAAGCCATTTATTTGTTAATCATGGTTACACACACATATATTGGAGCTGTTCGTAAATAAGTGAAATGTTTGAAGGTGGCGAACCTGCCTGCACCTTTGAGTAAAACCACGGAAGGCCTGATGACGTCCCAAATGTTACTGCGTGACGTCATCAAGGCGTGTTTACAACAATGTTTATTTATAGGCATTTCAGTCAATTCTTCTTCTGTACTGGTGCTCGTCGGCATTTTGATACATACGTTTTTGGACAAATTATTAACTGAAAGCATTGCTAATGTGCCGAATTTGCCTGCACTAACGTTACATGGTTAGCATAGTGACATTGAAGCGCAAATGTAAACAATTATGATTTTCTTCCTGGTTGGTAGAGAATGTCACGCAACCGTGATCGTCCTACGTGTCATGAATGTCACTTTCGTGCAAAATGGAGTTTTTTTGCCTTCTGCCTACGGATTATATACTTCATGTCGACAGTTCAGATTTCTCCAACCACAGGTACGATTGCACGTTTTTCTTTTGTTGTGTAAGTGTATGTCGGACATCAAAGACGGCGTGGGCAATTTAAAACCTGAAAAGCCCAAATCGGGATATTCCCTTCTGCGTTGAAATTTTGTCATCACGCATGCATTCCATTGCATCTAAAAGGACTAACAGTTTTACAGACAAATATTTTGATTAAGTGCATAACTAGCACACACTCATACATTAAATAATTGGCATATTGTCAGAATGTTGATATTCGCATTATGATACTTAAAACCAAATTTTTAATAAACATCGATATCCCGGGCCATATTTCGTATATTTGATAGCAAAACAGACCGGCTTTATTTTCGATGAAGTTAAGTTTTGCGAAAATATAAGTAGATCTAAGGTCCTATTATTGTTAATAATATATAGAAATCACGTGTTTATATCGACTAGTTTACTCGCTGTGGGTATATTACGTAAAGAGACTGTATGTATGTGATAACAATGATGAACACGACCCATTTCATCGTTCAACAGGGCAGGTAGCAGATACAAGTATGTCCTTGTTAGAACATTACACTTACTTCGACTTTAATGAGACTATTAGATGCTTCAACCACGGTTGTACTACCGACACCAAATAATGCTATCTTGACGACTATAACGCAGCATGTTATTTTGATTAGATTTGTTTTAAGTAGCATGCCATGTATCGTATGCGGTACCCGTCATATGTACGTATCGTCCATTACTTAATGATACAATAAGCATGCCGTTGATCGTCAAAGACACCGAAATTTCTTATTTGATCATGACGTCATCATTTGAGAGATTCACCAACATGAACTTGTAACCTCGGAGATGAAACAGCGGAACACTTCTTCCTTTGTCCAATGTTCAATGACTTACGATCAAAACTCAGAAACCAATTTATTAACCCTAATATTTCCCGTGATCATTTTAATACCATACCCTTATTACACGGTTGTCATGATTGTAATGAAGAAAAAAATCCTATTTATTACAATATATGTCAGAATACATTACTGAAACTGGCAAATTTGATTAAAGTACTTAAAGTTTGTTCGATGTATCGGGGAGATACACTATATTTATTGTTTATATGTTTTGTTAAAATCACTGTACCATACCGGAATCGTTTGGAGATGGCTTACATAGGCTTTGCCTGATGCCAAATCATTTTGCTTCTTTTGCAATACAATTTGTTGAAATGACGTCATGATAATGAAAGTCAAATAATTTCTACGAAGATTGAAACCCCTCCGTTTAGTAACTTTGAAGACCCTCTGGTAAACCAAGAAGATTAAAGCACTTCTGGTAAAAAATCTGTATACCCCCCCCCCCCCCCCCCCCTTTGGTCATCAAGATAGATTGATATTTTTTGGTAAAACACTCCTTCTGTAAACAACTTATAATTCACTCCATTTGGAAGATAAAATTAATGAATCACCGGGGTTATGTAGACAACGTATATTAAAGTCTCTCTCGTAAACAACGTAGATTTAAGCTGTTTTGATAAACAACAAGGTTGAAGGCCCTTTGATAAACGACGTAGATTAAGGCTTCGTTGGTAAACGATGACGACTGAAGCTTCTGTAGGTAATGCCCTTCGATAAACAATACAGAGTGAAACACCCCTCTCCGGTAAACAATGCAGATCGAATCCCCCCCGGTAAGCGACGTAAATGGAAGTTTTTCTGGCTAGCAACGTAGATAAAGCTCCTTTATGTAACCGCTTTAATACGACTCGCAACAGACATTGACGCCAAACTGTGGTAAACAACGTAGATTGAAGCCCCTTCGGTAAAGGGAAGTCCTTGTTGTCATAACAGAAATTGAAGCCCCTAAAGTAAAAAAAAACTTATTTAAAGTTCATATTGATGTACATTAGATAAACGACAGATTGAAGCCGCTCTGGTAAATAACTAGATTGAAAACGAAGCTCCTCTGATAAACATAGTGGATTGCAGCAACTTCAATAAACAATGCAGATGTTAGATTAACATATTCAATCTTCGCTGGAAAACAACTGAAAATGAATACAACATAGACTAGTGTTATTCCTATAAGTAATCCTCTGGTAAAATACATAACTTGAAGGCTCCCGTTAAATCATGTATGGTGAACGCCCTTACATTGTAATTCGTATATGTTTTAATAATATATTCGTTAAGTTTATTTAGGGGTTTAGAATGACCATATTCTTGATAAATGCTAGGATTTGTATCACTTGATGAAGAACTGTCTGTGATATCTTTTGTAAAGAAAAATATGGATTTTTTTTCTTTTACTTATGCTAATACAAAAAAACAAATATCTGAAAATGAAACGCAATTGTCCTGAGTTATTGAATGTAACCTACCAGAGCCTTTGTTAAATATGTACTACGTCTGCTAACGTTTTGCCTTTTGGTTTTAACTTGAATAGTGCTTGAGCAGCCCCGATATTAAACTGGATTGATGAATCTAGTTTAGTAGGAATAATACTTCTTCAATGACTTGGTATTTTCGGGATATTTTTTGTATTGGTATGAACATTCTGCTGCTCATCAAATACTATGCGTGACATCATCGTGGGATCATACATTCCATTTAACCATCGTTAATGCTACATTTTGTGTTATGGCACAAATGAATTATGACATAAGTTCCATAAGCAGAACGTGCATCTAAATCATGGTATGTGATGTTGCATTTGCGTTTACAAAAACACAAACAAACTTACAGAAATATTCCATTCCGTAAATCGCAAGGTCTTAAAATACACAAACGTAAATAAAGAAGTTTATGCAAAACATATAACTAGAATGTCAAGTTAACATGTCGAGATATTTTGTCATATTGACGGCTAGATGCTGGATAAATGAGTAACATAAGAAAATATAAAGTTGTATACTTGTCTCGTTAATATTTTTTTGATAAATCATGGCTAGCTAATCGAGAAATGTGCAAGGAAACTCAGTTATATTTTTGTTCATGTATAACACATCTCATAATGCGATCGTATCTTTGCAACATTCACCTCAAAACTATGTTATAAAATGTTTATTAAATTATATAGTCATTGATAAACAGAGTGTTTAAATCTGCACCTTGCAGTTTATAGCACGATCTTATGTCAAAACAAATGTTTATTTAATTACATGGGCATGTGTTGGTAATAAACCAGTGTGGTTAGTGTACGTTTAACCTTGATAGAGATAGTGATTCCGCCTGATTTGCACAATTTGACAATAAGGTTCTGCAAAGCATTTTTCTAGTTGATAAACACGCTAATGTAGTCAATTAAAGTATATCCCTTGTTTGCAATACCCATGTGTATATTGTCCTTGCCTGTACCATAACGTGTTTTCTATTTCATTTCAGTAAACACCAGTCTTGATTCGAAAGTCACAACAAGTCAAAGTTCAGATTTTGAAACTGACTACAGAAGTGACAAGGCAGTAGATGGCTGTACTAAACGGACGCTCAGAAGTGGTTGTTGCTCACATACAAACGTGAATCCTGCACCAAATGAAGCTTGGTGGCAGATTGACCTTGGTGATCAAGTCGTCATCGAAGACGTCAAGATATATTACAGAGGTGATGTAAACAAATAAATACTCTCTATAAACACTTACATAACTAAAAAGTAGCTAGACACTTTATAATCATCAGGTAACCATATAATACCTTGAAGTGGTTTCGTTTAATGTGTGAAAGAAAGTAAGTATACTTGTTACTAGCAGCATTGTTTAACTACACACATAAAACTGTTACTAATATACATGTATATGCATGTCATATCGTAATGGATTTTTTAATCCGAGTTTTAGATTTTTTCTCGCATCGTTTGACTAAACCAATGCAGAACGAATGCTTGGTTTTTAATCTGTTGGTTGATACACTGTTATCAAGTATCAACTAAGTCAGCATTTGATATGAAACGAAGGGAAAATAGTTATGTTCCCAAAAAGCGGGACTGTGCCGTAAAATTTTGGATATATCTGATACTAAATGTATCCATTTCAAAATGGGTTTTTTCTCATTTTTCATAAGTAGATACCATTCAATTTTCTGTTCTATTATCGATCAATATTCCTGGCACGTGGTTCTATAAATAGATTGTGAAGTAGAGTCATATAGTTACATTGCCTCTTAAAGAGTAATAACACTGTAGCCTAAAAGGAACGTTAGCATTTTTCGGATACACGATCAATATAAGTAGAAAATTATGTATTGTTAAATTGAATAAATCAGGGATTTTTTTTCGTCTTCAAACTAACATTATTTTTTGGAAAAATAATCTTCTGCAAATAATACCAAATTAATAAGCGTTGCGTGGCAAGTCATCTTTTCGTAAATATTTCTTACCTCAAGTTGTCCGGGTGACCACATTGAACAGCCAATGACGCCACTTTACAGTAAAACTGACATAAGCGTGTCATGTTAAAATTACCTACATACAAATAGTCTTTCAATATTGCCTGCTAATTCCCTGTGCTGCTCTTCCACAATTGTTCAGTTTGTTTGGTATTATCCTGTTTTTGGTACACTGGTATGAAGCCTAGCGTCCTCATATTTAGGTAAACTCATATAATTTGATGCGTACATCTCAATCTAAGATTTCTTGCATGGACACACATTAAACAACAGTATCAAAAATTTACCCGGATTCAAATATTTTTTTAAGATGGAGACGTGTTACATAATTATATATGTATACATCGTTTGCCAAAATATGATAATTACTGAATCTGAATAGGTTTCCATCCTATTATATCTTAAATTAATTATATCAATTTCATATCATACACAGCTAGACTGTTTTGAAAATTAATATAGAAACAATACACAAATAGATATAAAAAAAATATTTTATTTTACAATGTTATAGCATATGCAGATTTTGCTAACATTTTAAGTTATTCTTCTTTCATATTTGTATAGTGTTGAAGGCCAATTGAACGTACGAAATGACATATTATCGAAAGTGCAATTAAATACCGAGGTCATCTGGGGATAGATTTCTCCTTTCCTGGCTGTGTACAATTACACACTAGCCACAAATCAAGTCTTGCTACATTTTAAAAAGCACTAACTAATCAGAGTCTAAAATGCTAATTAAATATGTGCAGATTTCTCTTACAATCACACTTTAGTCGTCGAAAGTTGTAAAAGCATGAAATCTGTAATGAATATCAGATAGTATTTCAGAAAGTTTAAGTGTATAAACGAAAATCGGACAGGCTGACGGACGTCCGGAAAGATAAACCGATTGCTGTATATAAGACAATAATTCGGACTGGTGATTATGACTTAATTAGTACGGTGATGCCATAATAGTAATGTTGGATATAGCTAGTCATTATCCAATATTCCTGATATTTAAATTCTGCTACATGACAGTACATGTAGGTTAGTGGTTGCATTATTTTCCAATAATATTCTGTGTAATACTTTCTGACCGGTTATTTAATAATATTGTTAAATTTGATCTGTGCATACTTTTAATAAAATTTTATCTTTCCACTAAATCCAATGTGTATTGTTATCTTCTAATATTCGTGGTATATATATCACATTTTTACAAAAGAAGTAGAAACGTAATTTTTTGAAATTATATCAATACAATAAAGCATTGTATGTATTAAGTTTGGAAATGTAAAATGTAGTAAACCATAGAAAATGTGTTACCCTTCATTGTTTGCAGATTGATTCCTTATCTCTAATAATGTTTAATACTGATTTACTGTAACGTCGCTAAGTCATGTATATCATGTCAAGTTGACGTCTATTTGAGCCCGCCTGGTCCTGGCTTTTGGTATGCTTGGTCTCCGCAGTTTTGTGGTTGTTGCTCTAGGTTGTTATAAACAACACCAATTCAAGAGTACAATTCAACTTAAAACTTGTATTAGTTCAACAAAATATTTATATTTATATTTTGGTACATATATATGTACACTTTCTCTCATACAGAATGACACCAAGTATTTCCTAATGCACCTCACTCCAACACCAGGATCGAAAGAGCCTATTGGAGATTATTAGCAAATATATAATTTGAGAGAATGACAGTTATTTTACTTTTCTAACACTTGAGTTCACACGAAAGTGCCAAAAACTACTAAGATAAATATCATAGTATATTTATATGTATATATCACAACTAAAGTTTTATTTACCTATCACATATTTCTATTGAAGAATGTTTAAGATTAATGGAGATTATTGGAGACATGAATTATTTCACTATTATTATTATACGTAACACAGTATGGGGAATGTTCTTTACAAGAACACCCTAGTGTCTAAATAGTTACCTCGTCACTGCAATCCATTGTTGGCAAAAATTGGTAAATATTATAATATAGTTGAACGCGGCGAGGTAAGGTATGTCGACCGTCTCGTGAGAGGAGTAAAACTGCTATCCTTGAATATCTGCGGTTCACAACTATTTATACTATTAGCTGACCCGTATGTTATAATCCTTTGGTTTTTACCTTCTCCAATAGCAATGCTTACATAAGATAAAATCCGAGAGTTCCGAATGCAAAACAAATATGGCGTTGTACAAAGCAGATGACAGCCGTCTAACAGTTTACAATCTTCCGATTATGATCGATTGGAAACGTATCAGGATAAAAGTTTTGGCACATTAATGACACGAAACATTCTTCTTTTTGAGAAATATTGTCTTGATATTCGTGTACAATTATTATAGAAACCGAAGCGAGAATAGACCTCGAGTATGAGACTGATCACTGTAATATTTCAAGATCGCGATCGGTAGCTTGTCATAATATGCCAATACCCAAGCAACATATAGTATATTAATTTCAACTACATACACTCTTTCCTCAAGAAATACAATATTCATACAAAACATCTTCATTCATATAGCGATGATAATCGTTACAAATAAACTTTGTCATTGATTTTGTCAAGATTGTCATAACATTTTACATTGGTAAACCGACAATAATATGTACTACCTAAACTGTAATGATTTACAGATTGTAATAGGTAGGGTCATTACATTACTATAAATGAATTTTATCACATTTTCCTATTATATAATCGTTCATATGTAAGAACATATGTGCTTCATATGACATTTATTCCTCCTAACTTGTTTTCCAATTCAACTTAATTGAATGTTCAAAATGCATATATTCTAAAAAACTACCGATTACAGATACTGGACGTATCTTTTAGATCTTATCAAATGTAAGTGTGTTCTTGTCAATCTTGTTTAGCCTTTTTACTATCCGAAATGTTCCAAACACAAAATTATGTCAATGTATTGACCACGTGCCTTTTTGTGACCAGTTCATGTATGACTGGTTATCTAAAGCTTGTTGCAATCCCTGTAATGACTGCAACAATTGGTATTTATGCTTTCCTCAAATAACGTCAATTTTGCCATATTAATATTACTACATATTTATAATGTCAATCAGATGTGTAGGCTATGTTTGTCACTGTAAGGAGGGCGATTTCATAATCTCTTTATGTTTCCAAATTTCCATTGTTTGTAAGATATATACCATCGAAAATTATGAAATTAACGGTCAAAAGTGTCAAACATGTTAAACAAAAAATCCTCAAATGACATTTTATGAAGAACGAACAGATAGAAATTTTAGGTAAAGTACTGCACAGTTTAAAAAAATAACCTTGACATACGTTCTAGGTTTTATGAGTCAACAATGTTATGATAATGTAGTTAAAAGTTTATGGTACTTATGTAGTAGCATGAAGTGTTTTACTTGTGCATATATATCCTTTGTTTCCTTGAATGAATTACCTTAACCAGTGTGGAAAGTGTCATAATTTGGTTTGTCAAACTTCTTAAGAAAGCTATTGAAGTTAATGGAATAAAGATACTTCGTATGTACTGTTACCTTGACTGCTACATGGCAATTTATCCTGACAAACTGTGAAGTTTACGGATGTGCAATTGTGATACCAAACAATATTGAAAGGCATGTGTGAGCGATACATGCACATTTGATCTCTTGTCTAACATTCAAGATATCCTGTATTTATAGCAACACATTGATCGATTATAGTGAGATTATATAAATAATAGCATTTTCATATGAAAGGGTTTGATTGAAAAAAAAAGGTTATATTAAAAAATCACAGACAGTGGACAAAAATCAGTCCAAACTATCTGGGGTTACTTTTAATATGCAAGTTTTTAAAGATATTTCTTTCATCAATGGATTAAAGGCATAGAAATGGTATTATGGTTGCAACTTTGAATTCAGATAATAATTAGCTCCATGCATACATTTCTGGGGAACACCTTCACATCTCTAACACAATAGTTCGACGTAAAGATTTTCAACAGATGGAATAGTTGGAACTACTTCTGTTACAGAAACATTCAAATGTAGGGATATATTTTAATAGGGGATAATATTGCAGATTATTCAGAAAAAAAGTACATCATTTATCTGTTGATAGATTCTTGTGTTTTACAAGGGTTGTAACGACTTCATACAAAGATTTTCCGAAAGAAATCGACAGTAATCAAGGTCAGCATTCGTGTTACTACATGTAGCTGTATGCAGTAAAAAATATTTAACCGGTTATTTTTTGTCTGCATCTGTTTACAGCTAAAATCAGCGAAAAAATAGATAACATTGTAAACCAGTTATGAAGTATAAGAAAAAAATAATTAAGAAATGGCTACTGCTGTCTGACAGGATACATATTATATATTAATGGAATGAAAGCCGAAACGAAACATATTTGTATTCCAAATACCAATACACTTAAACTTGTGATTATTGACATTTTTATTCATTCAGATGAGGCTATATTAGAGCAAAAAGGTCGATTCGCTGGTTATCAAATATACCTGTCAAATACTACAACAGATTGGAGAAACAATGGCAGTTGTTATACAGACACACCTTCTGCACCATGTGTGGTGGAGCTAACTCCACGAATCACATCATGTACAGGCAACACCCGATACCTGACAATTTACGTCGACCGTCGAACACTAGCTTACTCTTGGTACTCTACACAAGCTTTCCTGGAGCTCTGTGAAGTACAAGTTCATGGTGAGTGTATTCGTGCAGTAGTTTAATGTGAACCATTGATACGTCATATGATTTATATAGTCTCCATTTTGTTGTATTGTGTGTTTATGTCATTTGTGCCCTGAAAAGTTAAATCAACGAACTAAAGATTTTGTTTGAGAGAAATAAACTAAATTTACAAGAATGAAACATAGGAACATTTTGTGTCGCAATTTGAACAATTCACCACCCGGGCTTTTATGTTCCTTGTTAGTGGTGATTTTGGCTTAACAGAAATAACATGCTTCGTTCCTGGTAATTTGTCTGGAATGTGATGCAAATTACTTTAATCCATACTACACGTTGTTTGAGATATCCAGATTCAATCCCTATATCAGGTTTTTATCAAATATCGAAATATCTAAAATATTTTGCTGCGCCACTTTTATTTATAATGTCAGTAAGCTATCAGACTGATGTTCACCACACGATGTAACGTACCTGTACGCGTCACGGTTTTGGAAATCTGCTCGTCTAGATAATGGCTTTAATATTATAGAAATAAACAACATTATGACAAAGATTGCAAGAAAATCATAAAACCAAAACCTATCGTTGGTTTGGATCACCATGTTATGCAAAGGGAGACAAATCTTACGAGAAAAAAAAAAATAACGAATTTCGAAAATATTAGAGTAGAATCAAATGAGTATATTTTTCACATGTGTACCTATTGAACATCACGAAACATGTACATTTAAAAAAAAATCAAACTTGACTGGGAATAGTACCTGCGATTTTTAAAGACTTTGTTATGTTCTGGCCTGGGGACAGAACCTATGGCCTTCCTCACCTGAACGAACGTTAAACTTTAAAGCTAAAAGTGAGGTATTGCCAAGTAAGGCACTATGAAATAAAAGGTTGCTAGAGGTAGTGGGAAATGTAAAGATCCCAAATATTGTAATGGTGCAGCAGATTTATTTTGGTCGCTTTCGTGACCTAAAATAGAAGACACTAAAGCTTATCCCAAATTCTGCAGAGGTTTTTCACATCAATCGGCTCTTACGGTACATGCAGTGGATAGCAGGAGGTGTATTCATTTCTCGATCCCCGATCTACATGGGTGTCCCCGATTGGACGTGAAAAGGTGTTGAATCACTATCCCGACCACGTGCGTTTTCTCCGGGTACTCTGGTTTCCTCGCGCATAAAATAATATAGCTCGTTTAAGAAGGAAAGGATTTTTGTACATATTGCATCAAAAGAGATACAAATTTCAGGTTGTCCAGTAGGGAAATATGGTGACGGAGATTGTGATTCAAACTGTGATCCAACCTGTGTTAATAGCCAGTGTCATCCTAACAGCGGTCAGTGTTCATGTAAGTTAATTCATTTTGAGTAGATTTCTTAACTTTTATAGACGAATGTTTATATCGATATATATCACACAAATGTGGAAAATTGACAAAACTCCAGTAAATTATACAAAAATGTGTTATTCACAAGATGACGTTGCGTTTTGCACAACTATTGTCATTGTTTCAAATATTTAGTGTTACTAGGCACCTGAAGAACAAATACACTGAACATTCGTCATTTACACATTTATTTATATATCATTAGAATATAAGATTTTTTCTTTCGTTGAAATACAAATTACATTACGAATGTTTACCATTAAGATGTTTACTATTATTTTTCTTTATCTCATTTTTTCTTGATTTCAATGAAATGCCATTGCCTTGAAAATATTATACTTACTGTTATTAATACTACCATTTGATAATTGTAGTTTGATACTTTGAATCAGCAGTGATTACTTAATAACATATCATACACTGTAACGTCTTATTATTTTTAGACTGTGCGCCGGGATTTTATAAGTCTGGGCTTGTTTGTACAGCATGTCCGACAAATTGTTTGAATGGCGTGTGCAATGTGGAGTCCGGTCTTTGCTCAGGTAAATAAAAAGTCATAATACTGGTATCTAAGATTAAAACATACAATACTTGTTTGGGTGATTTTATAATGAACATGCAGTGATGTGTAGATATACAAATAATTACGTTATAGTATATTTTTACTCTTGCTGGCTTAACTGATTTTTGTATTGCTTTCCTAGTGTCTCACTTTCAGCCATTACTGCGACTAACATTACAGTACTAAGACACATGTCATCATCTTATTTACTTTGTGGTGTAGATTATACATATATAAGCGAAAAATAAATTGAAATTGTAGTAATGAATTTTGAAATACAATTATTATGACACCATGTACTGGCGATCGATGTGATCAATATTGGCCAGCAAAGTAAATCGTATACAAAATAAACAAGATTATGATGTTATTTGAATCAGTCAATTTAGATTTAGTTACAGTAACTTACAGATAGAATATGTAAGGTTTGAACCACTCTACATTTACTATAACGGTGTTTGTGACTTTGGAGGAAAACACATCATAACGCCCGTGCGCTACCAAATCTGTGTCAATCACATATACTGTTAATGTCATTTCAATGGAAATCAATGAAATATACATTGTCTTACATCTATACAAATATCTTAGTCACCCTTTTAGTAATAATTTGATAATTCAGAAGAATCTCCTAGAAGAGATGAAAGTACTTAAGTCTCGTTGTTGAGAATTTTTCACATTACATTATATATATATATATATTTGTAACATTTTGTTAGAGCTATGTTATACTTAACTGGTATTTTTATTGATAAATTTGATGACATATTAACCGATATTTTCAGAATATGAGGTTAGATTCTATGGCAGTTTTTCTCACATAGCAATATCCCCGCCCCACAACATTTCGGTGCTATCCCGAATTAAAATCACTAACGATTTACCTCACATTGATGTTGATATGAAAAGTCTGTGAGTTTGTTAGTGAATTGTCACGCCTATACAATTGATGTTATCGATTTTATAGGCGTTTTCAAACTAAATTGGTTCTCCTTGTACAGCAAATGTTGTAATATTATATTCATCTCTATAATCAGCAATGATCCTTACTTTCTTAATCCGTTGTTTGTTAAAGTATTGCAATGTTTGGTAAACCGGCATTTTTGTTAGTGGGCGTGCGTTTTTGTACCTTATGTAACGAAGTACAAAAGCTTTTCTCCGATACCTCACTTCGTGTATCTCGTTTTACACGTACATGATCATTTTCAACGCCAATTAAAAAAATGTTGATGTATACCTCATTTTAATGTTGTATTGTTGAACAATGTGTGTCCAACACGATTTTTTTACCGTGTCTTAAAATGACCCCGTTTTAAAACTGTTTGCCAAGAAATGTTCAACATTCGTTTGTTATAGTAAGGACATGCTTATCAAACTCAATTGCTGATGCATTGAAGGTAAATGACTGTTTGTAGAATGTGTGCCTGGTGTGTATGGCCCCAACTGCACTCAGACCTGTCCTGTCAGCTGTCAAGACAAGTGTGAAAGAAACACCGGAGAGTGCAATGGTATAGTTATTTGTTTCTTGTTTGATTAGCTTAAAATGAATCATATTGAATGTGAATGTGAATTTCATAAATATTTGACTCGAGTTCTGCTCTAGTTGTTTCAACATATAACAAGGAATTTACATTTTAACTTTTTTTTTATTTCAGCAACTGTATGCTATAGCATTATGCGTTCCTATAAGTTCGTCACGTATTGTAAATATTCTATGTATAATGTACGTTAACTGTATTGTCTATGTCACGTGATGTTCGTAATATAAATTGTTTCACGTGTTGTATGTTTCATGTAGTGTCCATGTCATGTGATGTCCGCGACCTGTGGTCGTGCAAGCCGGTATAAAAGTGTGTATGCTAGTGTCTCCTCTTGGTTTTATTGGTCAGTAGTCTTTGTGTGTATTTCGCTCCAAAACTACTGATTCTGCACAATCACATGACGTTTTATGGACATGGAAACAATTGGGACAAGATACTGGAGGCATTGAAATATCCCGTATGTACCATTATGATTTTAAAAACATGATAGTAAGCATCATAATTCTTGCTGAAATTTACATTGTACGAGTTAAATCAATAACTAACTAGTTGAACTCATTTTTTTGAGAATAGACATTTTTTTCTAGGAAAATATCAAAATGATTTATGTATATGCATTTAATCATATATTTTATTTATTTTTACAGTTCTCTATCTTCACACTTATTCTATTGAATATATAGAGCCAGGTAAAACTGGTCATTTTAATACTTTGTAATATGCACTGTCAAATTTAATATAGTGAAAATATACTGATAAAAAATTGAATACCTGCTATATATTTAATTTCACACGTGTTTTCCGGGTTTGTTTGGTTCTGCATAATTAATGGACCCCATCGCACTCTGTGCACATTTGCGCGCGATGTGCGGATGATGTTCTATGAGTTGTGCGAATACACAACCGTGCTTACACTTTTGTAATCGTATATTGCGTAAGCATAGGATTCATCAAAACATAAACTTGGGTAATCGATTGTGATCTCAATTTATAATGAGTTGTACACTTCATTATTTTGTAAATGATGACTGACTTTTTAAGTAATTAATATAGATGGTAAAGTGAAATGTTTCTGGTCTATACATGTTAAACAGTATTTATTTGTACACATTTTACTATAATCTGTGTATCTTATCTTTGCAGGGTTTGATCATGATGCTTATTGAAAATGTACATCAAGATAGAGAAGAATGTATACTCAAACCTTTGTTACAAACACCCATTGGAGGAGAATTTATTTTAAAAGAAACGCTATATACCGTCACTTATGATTCATTTTATATATATGTAGTATTCTTCTGTAAATTATCGAAGTCTTAGTTTATTTATATCATTACCCTACTTCATATCTTTATCTTCACCTTTAAACATATCATTTTATCAATATACAACTCCGTAATTGATGTTCATATGATATTTATGTAATGATACAATCAAATAATAAGCTTATATATACCATCAGCTTTGTTAAGAAAAACAGTATATTTGTATGCGTAAACATTTGTTTGTTTTCTTCTCATGCACCCCAAGAGTTGGAAGGTCGAGACTAGCTTGTGACCCTATCTGTCAATTGAGCGGAAAATGCAAGCAAACAGATGGCCATCTTAAAGGTAGGTGAACAAATGCATGTACTAACTCAAATTGAACAACAATTATGCAACTGTTCAAAAGCTAAACAATGTCAGGAAAGTCAATTCAGTAAAACGTTTTTTCTTCGTTATAATGTCATAGGCTTGATAGTGATGAATTCGTGTTATGTTATTATTTTTACCAATCGCCTTATTCCTGATATGCAGTAATTCAAATAGCATGGTGAATGGTTCCTTTTAACAATATGCTATGTATATATATTCAACACTATACCCTGTATATACCTTTAGCAATCAGCTATGTTTAGCTTAAAATTCATTGTCGCATATTATTATCCTTCATATTTCTTCATGACGTCTTAATAAATTCCATTTAAAAATTAATAAATCAATTTACTATTCTATGGGATGTATGTATGTATGTACTACTGGATGCCTGAAGAGGGCCTGAGTAAAGATTTTAATAAATATTATAGTTTTANGAGCGGGTGGAGAGCAACGCCATGTCAACTCGTGAAGTGTAAACACCATGCTGAAATTGTGCGACAAATGGGACACTAAAACGCACAGTACAGCTGTGGTGAGTACCGTACCTATCAACACATTTACATATCATCTTTGTAATTGTTTTTAACCTGATGTGTAGTTATAAAGCGAAATTTTACATAGTGAGCTATTTATAGATACAATGAATCTATTTGTGTTGGGTAAAAACAGATGCTCTCATTAAATTTTGTGTGTTTAGTTTATATAGTGATTTATACAATAAGTACACATGTTATATGAAATCCTACAGCACTATTTTACATTCGTTTGATATTGTTTATATAGTGAATACAGTTAATACACACGGTAGCTGGTATTCGTTGTTTAGTAGGAACGCACGTGTTAGTGCGTGTTAAGTATTAAGGGGTCATACCGTACTTGTGTGTAGTTTATAGTTAAAATATTTTCACTTGCATATTCATATTAAATTAAGTCAGTTTCATTGTAAATAGTATAGGATAGCATGCTAATACTATTCAGTTGGTTATTTGTATTGTATTGTAGTTAAATCCCAGTAAGGATTGATACCATATTGGATATCAAGGTATAGTCTGGGGAAGATGACTTAGCTAAATGGTTTTTGGAGGCCCTCAAGAATTCCAACAGTGAACTAAACATCTTGTATGTGAAACACACTAAATTGACATGAACTAATTCCAAGGTAATATTATGTGTCGCAATTTGAACAATTCACCACTCGGCTTCGATGCTTTTTCAGGCTATTTAGGCTATGTTATGGATGCTTGTGCTTGACAAAAATAGCATGCGTCGTTACTGGAAATTTGTCTGGTGTGTAGCAAATTAACTCCAATGCATACGATGTTTGAGATATCCAGATTCAATTAATATATCGGCACTAAGCTATCAGACTGATATTCATCACACGATTTGACGTGCGCATCATGATTGTGGAAATATTGTCGTCGTTTGAAGAATACCTTTAATAAACACCAAAATCAATCATTTGTTTGGATACTCAGGTAATGTTAAGAGAGTCGAATCTCACGACAGAAAAAAAAGATTTTGGAAAATATTTGAACAGTACAAAATGAAATGTGTACTTATTCACAATCACACATGTTCATTTATAAAAACAATTTTGACTGATATTCATATTGTAATTGTATTTCAATATAACTGTTCGTTCATATTAATATTAATTAACAATAGTATTTATTAAGCAGCATTAATGTCTACATCCAAACAAATTTCAAAAGACAGTTGTCAAGACATTTATCGGCAAAAACAACAAAATAGAAAAGGTAGGTCGGGTGGCGCAATGAATAATGCACTTGCCGTTCAGCAAGATAGCCGGGTTCCATTCATCGATAGGACATTAAAAGATGTTGAGTTACTTGCCCGACCACGTGGGTTTTTTTCTTGTTCTCCAATTAGACCCAACATTAAGACGTTTTGTATTTTTCAATCCCGGCTACAAAGGTGATTATTGCAAGATGGAAGCACAGGCTTCATACCTGTTGTATAATCAATAAAATTCTTATTGTTTTATTAACAGATTAAAACATAAACAAAACAGTATGTGTTCATCGCATGTATTCCTAAACAAAGTTTTAAAATCTTAATGAATTCTGCCCACATATTAATAAGCATCGCAACTAGTTAAAATTAAGACGAAGCTCAGTTCACTTCTAACAGACATGTAATTGTCATTTAAGTGTAGGATTTAGTATTACAATATCAACGATTTTAATTTATTTAAAACACGAAATATCTGATCAGTTTATTTTGTGTCACTTTATATACTATGTTCAAGGTTCTTTTTTCATATTTCTGTAACACATGTTCAGTTAAACAACTTTGCTCTTGGATTGTTTTGTTACAGATGCTTTCTGTGAGTGATGATGAACTTCACAAAATTCCTTCCAAGAATTTTAATAATTGTTTGTATTGGTATTCCTATTTTAAAAGTACGATATTTGTTTATTTTACGAATAAACTGATAACAGTTGTTAAAGAAGAATATGATTTTTCTGTAGACATTGCATCTTAAGAAATACAAATTGCAGGTTGTCCAGTAGGAAAATATGGCAACAGTAACTGTGATAGCAATTGTGATACAACCTGTGTTAATAGCCTGTGTCATTCTAACAGCGGCCAGTGTACATGTAAGTAAATACTTGACAAACAAATTAAATCACTAATGTTTACTGTTAAGAGTTTACTATTGTTTTACTTTCTCTCTATCTTTGTTTCTTTTTATTTCAATGAAGTTCCATTGTCTTTGATAAAGTTATAATAACAGTTAAATACATTTAACTATTACATTTCATTCAATTTTATCAAATTGATAATTGTAATATGATACTTTGTATAAACAGTCAAACCTTAACACACTCATAATTATAAACAGTAATGATTTATTATTTGTAGACTGTGCGCCAGGATTTTATAAGTCCGGTATTGTGTGTACAGCATGTCCGACAAACTGTTTAAATGACATGTGTAATGTGGAGTCCGGTGTTTGCTTATGTAAGTACTACACCATAATACCGGTATCTATGATTAAAACATACAATATTGTTTTTTGGTGAGTTTATGATAAGCATGCACTGATGTGTAGATATACCATGATTTACGTTACAGTATTGTTTTACTCTTGCAGGTCTCAACTGAATTACGTATTGCCCTTCTTAGAGAGTCTCACTTTCAGTCTTTACCGCGATCACCATTCAATACCAAAACACATGTCATCATTTATTTTTACTTTGTGGTGTAGTTTATACATACATTAGTGAAAACTAAATTGAACTTGTAGTAACGTGTTTTTAAATACAGCTATTTTGACACCTAGTCTCAAATGGCGATCATTGTTTTCAATATGGTCCAGCAAAGCAAAGCAAAGTAAACAATTAATATTGGCCGTATGCTAGCATACTGATTGTTTATGCGATTGCAACAGAGTTCAATAAAATTTACATATAAATATATCTTAGTCACCAAGTGGATGCTAATTTTTATACTATGGCACATTTGGTTATGTATTATATCATCTCAAAACACTTTCATATGGCCTTAATGAAATATGGTCTTTGATTTAATATTGACTTCATTTATCTTCAAAACAATCCATCAGTTTGTTAATATGTGATATCAAAGTTTTACTTTTTACACAAACAATGTATGTATCAAACGTTTCCCAACGTCAATGTATGCTATGGTGATCTTTGTGATCAACCATATTGTGAAAACTTTCAGGGGAAAATGTGTGATCAAGAAAACTTTGTTTTGTGTGCAAGAACATATGTACGTAGGCAATGCTACGATCGGTCATATTGATATTTTGATAACACTACAGGAAATAATTCCGGTTAAGATAAAATTCCTTTGACACAATCAGTAATTACAATGACATACATGTAGTTAGTTTGAAATTCTTTTTTCATATGGCTACAGATGTAGTTGTTTGCATCTTCATATATTGATATCATGGAAGACGGTAGTGCCGATTTAAACAACGATTTAGGACAAAACATGTGATCAAGGGAACGGAGTATGTTCATGTACGTAGTAAATATTACTGTTTCTTGTAATTTTACCACAATAGCAAACATGAATAGGGCTCATTACATTACATTACATTACATTACAAATATGTCGTTAAACATCCCAGTAGGTCTATATTGCCACTCCTAATGGGCTGCAAAATTCTTGTTCCTACATATCATTATCTCGTTTAGGTTTTACACAAAATGGAAGTGCCAATGGAACAAAAATATGTTGCAATTATCACAAAGTATGCTATTATAACTTTTATACTTTCCTGTAATTTAAAATAACTGTTTTGCATGAATTACCATTGACACATAGGCTTAACTTATTAATCTCTGCCTACATAGCCGATTTTATGGTTCCCTCATATCCATATTATTTGCTTTATTTTTTACAACAAGAGCATACATGATGAATAGGTAGCATATCCTATTATAAATCTCCTCCTAAATAGCCGATTTTGTGTTTCCTTTATAATTGCCTGTAATACGACTTAGATCATTTTGAAAGTTTAGTCAGGAGAAAAATAATTCAATCGTTTGTTGTAAGGTCAGGATGAAGAGAACAATTCCTTTCATGAACCTCACGAGTGTTGCACGTACTACGTAAAGCCTTTACCGTACCTGGAATTTGTTTTACCTTTCATGCAGACTTGTTTTAAAATTCTGATCTCTGATAGCTATACAATTCGTGACTTGTTTACATTACCCTCTAATTGTTTCGTTGTTTTGTTATACTATTTTTTAACTTGTTTTTAGAAATAGTTAAAAATGAATTAGTTTATATTGAATTAATCTTAAATATTTCTATAATAACAATCGTTATGACCAATCGTGTCAAGCAAATAGGACAGAGCAAATAGATGACACGAGTTATTAACCGTTTATTTCAAATATTGTTTTCCAGGACAGATCATCTGATTTAGCTGCAGCAAATTTTGAATATAGAGAAAATAACCCTCCTTTGTTGGTACCGTTATACAGATGCACGTTTGCCACTTTTTATANCCAGTAGGTCTATATTGCCACTCCTAATGGGCTGCAAAATTCTTGTTCCTACATATCATTATCTCGTTTAGGTTTTACACAAAATGGAAGTGCCAATGGAACAAAAATATGTTGCAATTATCACAAAGTATGCTATTATAACTTTTATACTTTCCTGTAATTTAAAATAACTGTTTTGCATGAATTACCATTGACACATAGGCTTAACTTATTAATCTCTGCCTACATAGCCGATTTTATGGTTCCCTCATATCCATATTATTTGCTTTATTTTTTACAACAAGAGCATACATGATGAATAGGTAGCATATCCTATTATAAATCTCCTCCTAAATAGCCGATTTTGTGTTTCCTTTATAATTGCCTGTAATACGACTTAGATCATTTTGAAAGTTTAGTCAGGAGAAAAATAATTCAATCGTTTGTTGTAAGGTCAGGATGAAGAGAACAATTCCTTTCATGAACCTCACGAGTGTTGCACGTACTACGTAAAGCCTTTACCGTACCTGGAATTTGTTTTACCTTTCATGCAGACTTGTTTTAAAATTCTGATCTCTGATAGCTATACAATTCGTGACTTGTTTACATTACCCTCTAATTGTTTCGTTGTTTTGTTATACTATTTTTTAACTTGTTTTTAGAAATAGTTAAAAATGAATTAGTTTATATTGAATTAATCTTAAATATTTCTATAATAACAATCGTTATGACCAATCGTGTCAAGCAAATAGGACAGAGCAAATAGATGACACGAGTTATTAACCGTTTATTTCAAATATTGTTTTCCAGGACAGATCATCTGATTTAGCTGCAGCAAATTTTGAATATAGAGAAAATAACCCTCCTTTGTTGGTACCGTTATACAGATGCACGTTTGCCACTTTTTATACCTTCTAAATATAATATATTATCTTTCATTTAAACTTGATTACGTATCATAAAAGGGTTTTGTACTCCTCCCTTTTGCTTCCAATTTGGTAACACCATTTTTTCTAGCATCATCGATGATTCCAAAAAAGACGAAACAACTGTATGGTATAGTTTGCATACTATATATCTTACCGAATGTCTTATAATCTACGTCCTTTTACAATATCATGATTTATTTTAATTGCTTTTCTCATATTGTTAAAAGTATATTGTTTTACATATCATTCTTCTTATTTTAGGTTGACAGAACATTATTATTTCATTTTAGGTTTACAGAAACCCGTTTTACCAATTGAACATGAAATGTCATAATGACCACAAAGTACAAAAATGTATGTCGAAATTTCTAGCTAGCGTTCTCGTTATTAAAAATTACTGTAAGACATAAATCAACATCATATNTTGACGAAGCGCATTTCCTAATCTGTTTAACCTTTTCTAGCTTGCGCCAATGGGTACCATGGCAGCCAGTGTGACCAATCATGTTCTAATAACTGTCAAGACAAACTGTGTGACCAATATAGCAGTGTGTGTATAGGTAAGTTATCAATTTGATAATTTGTTTTATCAACTTAAATATTTAACTTTATATTGAGATATCACATCAGTGTAAGAAATAGGTAGAAGTGCCTTGTTATATTAAAGTTATATTTCAATATCACAGTTTTGAGTTTATTGATACTTATCTATTTTCTCACACGATGGCTTCGCTTGACACCTGTTATCCGACAAGACTATACTGTGTTCAAGCATAACGGAATCTTACCCCTGGTACTAATTATTCCCTCGTGAATACATACAACTGGTCTTAAAACATTCTTATATTACCTAATGATTATTTCTTCATGATGTGACAAAGTCTGCAACCAGCTTTGTGATAATATACCATATAAGATAAGTATTATTATCATATATAAGGTTTATTTACTTTACAACAATTATGAAATCAGTTATGTCAACTATATCTCTCTTGTTTGCCCGGATGTTAGCGCTCGGGGGCTCTTAATGCATAAAGTTAAGTATTTGCCCTAGAGTGGATACAAATCTGGCGTTACATGTAAATTGAATAATTAACCCTTTATGTACATATGTACGTATTGTCAAGTAAACGCAAAAGTTAATATTATTTAAATTTTAATATTTCTACAGTTTTTTAAGAAAAGATATATAGTCCTTCATTGTTAATCATTTTCAAGATATACTCTATCAATACATCATGTTTACTTTTAATTAGGCTGTGAAGACCGTTATTCCGGTCCTCTTTGTGTCGCCTGCTCCCCGAACTGTGTCGATCCGGTCTGCGACAAATCGTCTGGAAACTGCATTCGTAAGTAATCAAATATTAAAAGGGGGATACACTTCTTTTTCATTAACTATCAAATATATATTTTCCAAATATTTGCTACCGTTAATTAATTTTAGACTGTTCCGATAATAATTCTGATTAGTATACACGATGATATATAACGAGAAAGTGATATAACACTTTACAGTAGGAGCTAGGAAACACCCATTTTCTACATGAGTGTTTCATATGGAATATGTCTATTTTGTATATAACTAGGAGGTAAAAATTGTAACCGTGCAGATATTTTTTCACAAGCGCAAGGTATGATTTGAACGACACTGAGATGTCCAGTTTTCTGGTTACATAGACGCTAACTATGAAAATGTATCTGGAAATAGCAGTCGTATGTACTAATATCTAAGCTGTTCTGTTTTTCCCATCAATTGTGATCCTATAAGTGACGGCAGAGTTTTGTCAAAAAAATGTATATTCTTCGTGCTTATGGTTGTATTTATTTTTCTATGTATTATAACCATTCTTTTTACTTAATAGTGAAAAAATGCCTAGTGTTCTAAATGTCATATAAAGTAGAACGAACTGACGCCGTTACTGCTTCAAAGATTACCTATATGTTGAACATATTTTATGCATATTTCCTTTGTTGCTATAATTATCTGTGAAAATTAGAAATGAAAACAAATTATAAGGGATAAATCCATTCATTGATGTGTTAAAATAGGCGGTAAAAACCGAGAAATATATACCACAAAAGTTTAGCTTTAAATACACTCTACCAGCAATGGACCAGTGATGATACATTTTGAAAAAAACCCCATAAAAGGTCAAAACATAGGTCTTAACAAAATATGTTCACGCATTTGAATCCTTGAGTTGAATCGTGACATATAGTTTCACACTAAATACCAATCAATTGTACCACACTTGCTCACATAAACTTGAAACAAAGGCACTACATTGAAATTTAGTTATGATTAAGATAATTTGTATTAACGTGTATACATCCTGTTTTGCGACATAGTCAACGCAGGAAATCTACTATTTAATCTGTAAAGTTTTGTATGGAAAAATTGCAAGATTTTATAAGCCTAACAGAACCAAAAAAAATACAATAAATATTTGACGCTTGCCAGATATTCGTTGTATATATACCGCTTTATGTATTGGATGCATTTCATTATATGTTCGCTATACTTGATATGATGAGCAATGCCTTAGATGAGAACACAACATAACTTGTGAAACAAGTTAAATTAACTATGCCTGTGCATCAAACAGTAATACACTTAAGTAATTCAGAGATATATAAACAAAGCAACATGTCGTTACTGCTTTTCAGAAATATTTTTTTGAGTTCATAACTAGTTGCTCGATAGGTATTTTCCTAGTGCTTCATTTCGCTTCAGTTATCAGTATTAACACAATTAAAATGATTAAGTTTTGGATCAGGAGTAACTAGTATACTTATTTTAAAGAACTTTTTGCCAATATAATACTTCAGAATGCCTAGCCGGATATCACGGTAGTACCTGTACTCAGACGTGTCCTACCAATTGTAAAGACAACATTTGTATCCAAGATAACAGGTTTTGTATAGGTAATAATTATATTGATAAAATGTTATAACTTCATGATTGGCATTTAGCTATATTTTTATATCAAATGTATACAAGCAGCCAATGAATCATTTGTCATGCATAGCTATATTTTTATATCAAATGTATACAAGCAGCCAATGAATCATTTGTCATGCATTTGAAAATGTGATTAGAAATAATCAATATGTTGAATATTCTTTTTCAAAATTTTTGAAGTGATTTTTTTTATATAAGATGATCACAGAAGAACTAGAGAAACAGATGAACAATTATTTTAATTATACAAATAAAGCATGTTTAGCAATTTTTTTAATTTAGTTTAAAATTTTGGTTGCAATAACATGCTAAGCTAAAATGATTGATTCGATTATTTGTTCAGTTTTTGTATGCTTATTTAAAAGCAAACAAGTATGTGTTGACAGAAGCTATCCTTTATTTAATAGTTTCCGAATTTGTTCTGGGGTTATATGGGAACACCTGCGACCAGACGTGTTCCATTTACTGCAAAGATAACTTGTGTATTCAGGGAAACGGGTTCTGTACACGTACGCTAGATTATGATTCATGCTATCTAAAATATCATTGTCGAATGTCCTCTGAACGAATGTGTAGTTAAAAATGATTGATTTTAGAAAGCAAGAACAGAACATATTTGTGTATTTGGCCGTAGGACGTGTGCACTATTATGATATTTGCAGTTGTCAAGATAAACAAACCTAGCTGACCAGACCAAATCCTAAAGATGTGATTTACAAAAACATAAAAAATATATTTGACTAGACTAGAACTTTATAGCTAGAAGCCTTAACTATGTCCGTGGTCATTCATTCCCGAACTCATAGGTTAGACATCGATCATATTGGTGCCTTTTTCAGGATGTGAACAAGAATTTCACGGAAGCACGTGCCAACAAAGATGTCCCATCGCATGTAAAGACAACACGTGTAGTCAGTTCAGTGGACAATGTGAAGGTATTGTATATTACAGTATATTGTGTATTAACATGTTACAGCTTCAGATGGATTTAAAAAGAAACACAGTAGTTAACATATCATTTCAGTTATTCATTAAAATTCATTTATGATTGCTTCGTGACTAAGAGGATTTCCCTAACAGATATAGTTATACATCTTCGTGTACTTATGACAGTAATTATCAAGTGTCTTTCAAATTGTAGGATACACATACTTTATTTTCACGATCGTTCACTTTCGTGGTATAAAGTAGTACCGAGTAACAGTCCGACAATCTCTGCTTATGTAAAAGTTCAAGGTTGTCATATGTTATGTCTTTAATTCTGAAACAAAAATCTCTTAAAG